CAACGACAATTCGCGTGTGTCTACATCGACGTACGATTGAAATCATATTAAACGAAAAGACTAATGATATAAAAATAAACAATAATAGTAAACTTTAATAATTCGTTAAATCGTACGAAGAGGAAGGTGAAAACAGAAGATAATAAACATCAACTAAAGTGTACGTGTATAAAATTGAAGAAGAACAAGAAAATACATCGAAGATTAAGCGAAATTGGATAAAGGATATTACTATTGAAAAAAGTTATATATATATATATATATAATATATCGACGAAAGACGACGCGACGATTGTTTATAAAAAAAATATAAGAAAAAAAAAAAAAACAGAAAAATACGTATAAAATGAAGCACGAATTTGACCATGTGCGTTTACCTATGTGCGCATGATATCGCAACGAGAACAGTAACGTAACACCTAACGAATACTACCCCCCCCCCTCCTCCTCTTCGTGACATTCGATTCGTCATCGGCGTTGTCGTCGTCAAAGTCGTCAAAGTCGTCGTCGTCGTAAAAGTCGTTGTCGTCAAAGTCGACGCATTTATTTGTTGAAAAAAAAAACACAAATGTTCCGACGTCGATAAACGTCGGTCAAATTCCAAGAGAACAAGATTAACCCACGATAATTCATAATTTGGATGTTCTAAGCGAAAAAAGATGTAAGTTAAATCTCAGATGTTTTCATATATATATATATAATTATTTATTAAATTTTGTTTATTTATTTTATTCGTTTCATATTATATACGTGACTGTTAGTTAGTATTCTATTATCATAATCAATGAATCTATTTTTTCCCTTGCGAAAATGATTGATCGATCGTTTATAAAAAAAAAAAAATCGTATAAGAAGAAGATTTAAAATTATACAACTTAATGTAATATCTAAGAGTTGTTGAGTAATTTTAAAAATAGATTACTCTTTTCTTTTTTCTTTTTTTTCGAGAAAGAGAAAGAGAGAGAGAGACTTTTGAAAGAACATTTTTTTTCACCTCGGTATCGTAAAAATGCACGCTTAGGAACTTTGTTACGATACTATAAAAAAAAAAAAGAAAAAGAAGAAGAAAAAAAAGGAACACTCGGATTAAAAATCGCAGCATAGAGGCGTAGTAAGTGGTTTTTAAAATCTTCCGCAAACTTTTGTGACACGAGGAGTCGTATGAAATGACTCTCTCAATGAATACTATTAGCGTAATTTAAATAATATATCCTAAAAAAGATAGATAGATGAGATGAGATGAAATAATAAATTATAATATTTAAAAAAAAAAAACAAAAGAAAATATATATATATATATATTTTCGCGCGCTAAAGAGGTAATAATCGTGGCGTTAAAATATTTCTCGATCTACATAATCTTGTTTTATTTTTCTGTTTGAAAAAAAGAACCGGGAAGAAAAGAAGAAAAAAGAAAAAAAAAAAAAAAAAAAAAAAAGTAAAACAACCGATTATCGATGTAAAAACGAAGAAGCGAAACCCGTGGTGGTAGTGGTAGGAATCGTTAATGGGATGCAAATACGAAAAGGCGCAAACGTTCGGTGTCATGTGCGTGTGTCGAAAGGTCTAGGTCGACTCGGTCGTGATGTATGCTAGATTTCCGGCTCGTCAAAATTCGTGAGAATTTTTTGGACAAACGTCGAAGAAAGAAAAAAGATATTTTCAAAGGACGCTACGCGGCCTCCGCCGAATTCGAATAGCCAAACGTTCGCCTTCGGATTTGTTATCCCTCTCGTTTAAACTTGCTTCTTAAAACGTGCTCGGGAAGATTCTTCTTCTTCTTTGTCTTTTTCTCTCTCTCTCTCTCTTTTTTTTTTTTTAAGCGGAAGATCATTCGAGATGATGTTGATTTTTTTTTCTTTTTTTTTAACAAATTCTTTCAACCTTGAACGAATCGTTAAGAAAGGGAAAACGTATAAAAAGAAACCAAACGTAACGTAAAACGCGATATATTTCGCGATTGCTAATTCTGCTCAATTAATAATAAAATTAGATTGGAGAAGATACGCGTTCGTTTAAATATATTACGAGAGATAGTAGTTTCAATGAAGACAACAACAAAATATTCTAAGTTAGACGAGGACGAAGAACTGAGAAATCCGGTTGGTGATACGAACGAAATGATGTGTTGCCAAATTTTCTCGGATAAATCTATAAAACAATTATGACCTTATTGGAAGGAAAAAATGAAAAGAAATCTAACGGAGGATTAAGATTTTGGTGAAAAAAAAAAAATAAAAAGTAAAGACCATAGGATGGATAGAATAGGGTTGTAGCTCGCGTAGTAGAATATTATGCAAGCCCGACGGCCGGGAAGTTATTCTGGCGGATGAGCGAGAGAGCAGGGGCACGAACAGTGATGTGTCCCACCTAGCGTAACCTCAAGTTCTCGATGACGAAGCTTGAGATAGGTCGGGTGCAAACGTGCTCTCATACGAGTATACATTACGTCCATGCACTACACAGCTGCTCAACTCTGTCTGTCGACTCTATACGCATACTAACGTATCATAGTAGTATATATGACTGGTTGTGCAGCCAGTAGGCCAATTATTAAACCGAGTAGGATCTCGGCCAATCATCAACGACGTCCTCGACATGAATCGTCATCTTCTTTCAACTACTTGGCGCCATCGAAATTTACTCGAAAATCCTTTTCCCACGAAAGTTTAAACAATTTCTAAATTAAATCTAAAGCTTCCCGGGGGTTAGGGGGGGGGGAAAGGTATTTCAATGTAATTTGATCTAAAGTTATTGACTAATATATTTAAGGAAATAATATTGATCATCTGAAGAAAATCGTAAGAAAAGATAATCGTTATTGGATCTGAGAAAGTATAGAGGGCCCACATGCGTAGAATACGGATAACAACAACTAGCAAAGCTTCTCTTCTCGACCTATGCCAATCTCAAACTAAATATACTCGCTGGGTAATGATGGCATTAAATGCGCATGGCAGTACTTACTTGCACTCAGAGAACCACTAAGAGAACAGACTTCGGTATCTCAAACGTTTCTTCTCAACTCGGTCGAAACATTCCCAATGACGGGACAACTATTGATCTTTTCGAACGATCGAATATTCATAATATCACCATTGAAATTAACGACAGTGATTTTATTCTTTTATAATGAATGGAATTATTCTCAATCAATAATAAACGTTTAAGTTAAGTGAAACTAACTCATGCTTTGCAAGATTTCTTCTTTAACGGCGCGTGTTATTCTTCTTCTTCTTTGAAAAACTCGAACTAGGACCGTGAACGAACGTTCGTCAGGATGAATTACGACGACGCAAATACCATCGCACGCTCGTGCGAATCCTTGCAATGTAGAAATGATGTCATTTGACCCTGACACGTGCAGTCCTCGAGTACCGGTATCTTCTCATCCAAACGCGAGTACCTGATAGCCAATGGAAACGCGATTGATGAAAAGGTGCATGACATCTTTATACATTCTTCTAAAAATAATATCATTGCGTGGACATTCCTTGATATATACGACGTATAAATAAAAATACTTTTCTATTCGGTGAATCGTACGATCGTTTCAAATCTCTATATCCTATAAATCTTTGAATCATAAGAAGAAGAAAAAAAACATTAAAAAGAATATTTTTTTTACGTTTAAAAGAGACAAATTCTAATCGATGGGGAATTGAATTTGATTGGGGGAAACAAAACAACAAAAAACATATCGCACGTATCCGATAACTCGTTATGTTTTATTTTATAAATCTATGAGTAATTTATTAGTCAAAGTGTTTTCTCGTATAATAGAAAAAAAAAAATTCTCATAGCGTATAATATATAGCGGATGATGATGATGATGATGATGATGATGATGATGATGATGATGATGATTGTACGGTGTCGACACTCCTTTGAGGTCGATTCTCATGGACGCAACGTGGCCTTAAAGCTGTTCAAAGGCTGTTGCAGCTCACGGGAGTGATTATTCTGGCATCTCTCTCGTGACATTAGTTTACGACGATTCAGCACACTCTATCTCGCTCATTTCATGGATTCTCGTTATCTCTGTCAATCGATTTATCGTTTGGATAGATCGATGAATCGATCCTTAGTCCGATCGATCCAATGAAATTCCAGCAAGATCACGGACTCGAGATCGACGATCAACAGATTGGATTCTTCGATAAACAGGTTTTCATTTCGGAATACTTTAGATTGCTATAGAATTTTTTTTTAGATCGAAATGATGATTTGGTTATATCAATCTAAGTCATTTTTTTTGTTGTTTAACACAAATACTTCTTCGATATATTAAACTTTCTAATATATATATCGCATATTATAATGATTGATCATACTAGAATAAGAAAAAAATAAATTCATAGTGTTTGATTTTGCAATGCGCGATCTACGCAATACTTTATTAGATCGTGGAACAAAAATAACATATGGCATTGAAATATACAATGCGGAAAACTTTAAATTGATTTAACCTTCGCTAAAGAAGAAGCCAAGTAAAAACAATATCGATGTTATGTTTTTTTTTTCTAATTGATCATCGGTTTTATACAAAATTCAACAGCCAGCTGCTGAGGAATCGTCAGTGAAAATAAGAAAACGTGACTTGGAATGATTCATAAACGACCACGTTTTCGAATTGTTCAATTTTGTTTTACGGAAATCACACGACAAGTTATCGTTTAACGCGTAACGATTTTCAAATAACACAATTCGAAATAATAATCATCTAAAAATAATTTTCTAAACCTAAAGAAAAGAAGCAGAAGAAGCAGAAGAAGAAAAAGAATTGTATTTAGTAAACGTTAGAAAATAAATGATAAAATAAAGCAAATGCCTCTGTAAATATAGAAGAGACCGTTTGCGTACAGAGTTACAGTAAAATTATAAATAACCAGACAACTGATATCTAAATGAAAACGATTAGTATTCACGGTTTCGTAAATAATACGTATTACGTTAAATATTCGTTGATAAACTATATAAAGAAACGTGAAAAACGACTAATTTATTCTCGACAAAATTGATGATACTAAAAAGACGTGTAAAAAATCAAAAGAAAAAATATTACATCAACGATGATTTAACGCTATTTGATCAAAGTGTCAAAAATCTTAATTAAATGTATTTTATTAATCGATCGGTTGAAATGTTCTGCTTGAAAATAACTGGGGAAGAAATAAATTCGGGTATCGATCGTAACGAGTTGCGAGTCGATATCGATTATTAAGGAAATTATGAGAGGTTAAAGTTCAAAAGGCTACGAGAGTCTGTTCGAGAGTGAGGAAAAGAAAAGAAAAGAAAAGGAAGAGGAGGAGGAGGAGGAGGTGGGGAGGAGGAGGATGACAACGAGAAGCAAAAGTCGTGTGCGTGTCGGTAAGCGAACGATCATACTCGCTCGAATACACGCGCGTGTACACACACACACATACTCATGCATACATATACATATACAGACACACACACATACGCACTAACGCATGATAGTGCATGCCTGACGGTGTGATTGACATTACTAAGTATGCCATGGCCAACCGCTCACAACGTGCTGGTACAAACGACTGCAGTACTGCCCACACTGCCGCGTACGAATGCAACCATTCGCATGCTAGTCTATGCACCGGCCAACGCCGTTGTCTAGGATTTTAAAAGTCATCGAAATTTTATTACAATATAATAAAACACCTTCGTCATACTCTCGATCGTTTATAGTTCAATATATTTCCTTCGAGTTACTTTTCTCTCTCTCTCTCTCTCTCTCTCTCTCTCTCTATGGTTATAATATAATGAAAAATAAAAAGTATATTAATCGTATTGGGCGAGAGATAAATAATTTTCCAAGAAAATTTTCATTCAAATCATGACGATTAACTCGTTAATATTTATTTACGATTATATATGCGAAAAGATTGTTAACCTCTATATTATATGCTTT